ATCTCAAAGGTCTATAAAGGTAATACTTTTGATTTGTTTATGTCAAGAGAGTGTTCACAACCATAGAACCTATAAAACGTGAAACATGTTTTATTGCGTTGCTTCTGAATATTTATTGATTTTGTGTCAAAAGTCGCGCGATAAACGCTAATGCATGTATTCGTCCATAATTTACGATAGACATAATTATCCACGAAAAACTTCAATTGCGTTATTAACAATGGTGTAGCTTCATCGTAATCTTCATCAGTGTTAAGTGAAGTTTCGCAACAATTCAGAAATTATGAATATTGTATTTTTCACGTGTTATTTTTACTACTGGAAGACGAATAGGAAAAAAAAGGTGACTTTAATACTTGACACACGCGATTTTGTTATGTAGTTACATCTGCATAGCGTTATACAATGACTGGTGACGTTTTGTAGCCATGCAACTCATATATGGTGTTAGTGAAGTTGTAACATATATGTTTGGCAATGAAACATCATTATTATAAATAATGGGGATTTGAAATAGGTAGGTAAACATTTATTTACCCAAAAGTACTTTGGATTTAAAGTTAATTGAAAAAGCAAGAAGTTACACATAAAGTAAGACTGTAAATTAGATTTACTAAGATATAAAGTGTAAAAGGGCTTGAGCTAGTTAAAATTCCAAATATTTGGATTGAAATAATAACATTCTCGAGTTTCCTTGGATTGTGAGTTTTGTTTTATTGTTGTCGCTATATAAGGAAATTTGACAAGAAATAGAAGCCTCTATCTTTCTGTCTTTCAATTTATTCATATATGTGTGTATATTTTTGTGTGAGTCAGATATACATAGTAAACCTAGCTGTCTCACTTATCACTGGATCTTTCGAAACTGATAAAAAAATGTAAAGCATAAAATTAAAGTCTTGAAGCCGATGGTTGGTTGGTTTTTGAATTTCGCGCAAATCTACACGAGAGCTATCTGCGCTAGCCGTCCCTAATTTAGCAGTGAAAAACTAGAGGGAAGGTAGCTAGTCATCACTACCCACCGCCAACTTTTGGGCTACTCTTTTACCAAAGAATAATGGGATTGATCGTAACATATAACGCTTCCACGGCTCAAAGGGCGAGCATGTTTGGTGGGACGGGGATTCAAACCCGCGACCCTCAGATCGCACGTGAAGCGCCCTAACCACCTGGCCATGCCAGGCCTTTAAAGCTGATGAACCATTATGTTTAACCTAACCATAGTTTTTGTTCAAAGAGTATTATACATAAGTTACAACACTGCTCATAGTCATATTTTACTTTTTCCCTACTTTCAGGCTTTCTTTTACAGTTACTTTAAAAAGATCATGTTTTTTCGGTGGGTAGGTGTGTTTCTATTTAAACATGGCAAACACAAGCAAGTATGCTACACTTATCGTGTTTATAGTATAAATACACGCAGAAAAATGTGCTATTTATACTTTTATTAAATATATTTAACTGTATTTTATCCTTCATTTTGAAGTGGATCGCTTTCATCATTGTATATATATATGTAAGCCATTATTTTAGAACTTTTCGGACTCAAAAGGGAAATATTTCTGTGGTCCTTGTATATGTAGGACTCGGCTTTTGAAACACAAAATATAAATTGCAACACGCAATATATATATAAATTTAAACTTTAATATAATTTAAAAGCTAGTTTTACAACTAACACTATCCACCCATCTGGATTTATGTTAACCTTGCTGTGTAAATACACTTTTCAAATTCTGTTGAAACTTAGAAATATGACGTTACTGCTTCAAATAAATGCCACCTAACGGGGAAGAAATTCAGTTACACAAACAACATACGTAGCTTTATGATTACATTTAAGAGCGTAGATTAGAACATTACAGATGAACAGGCTGTCTGCCCTTATTGTGATCTGTTCTATACAATGTATCATCTTTCGATCTGCTTATATTTCATATAATAAAAAAGCTTCCGTGTAATGTTAGTACTAGATATAAACGTAGTGTATTCGATATTTAGTTAGTTCCAACATCTAACGCACGCCTATACAGCTAGACATATAAAGGTGTTATAATCTAACTTTTACTTCTCCCAAGTTTGAACCAGGTACTAGTCGCACACCAAGCTAGCACTCTACCAACTGAATCGTATGGTTAACCTTTAAGACATCTAATACCTTTCTAATTGAAACTCCACAAGTACAACTACAAAACATTTTCGATCTTTCACTAGCAGAAAGCTACACAGCCTAGTTTGTTTTGACATATCCCGTTGAATGTCATTGTTTTTATATTAGGGAAGATAGCCACATTGGTAAAAGTATTTACAAGAATAAACCTTTGCCGGGAAAATGGAAACTACATTATAAGGCTATTAGAACTAGTTGGACAAAATCAGTACTATTTGGGTAATATATTTCCAAGCTTAATGCAATTAAAGAAACATATATAACCAGAGTAAAACATAAATATTCAATATGTATGTGTATATCTATGTCAGCTAAAACAGAAAGTGGATATATATATATATATATTGTGTGTGTGTGTATGTGTTACTGGTTCTGTGGCTGACAGTGGTTTTTGAATAACAAAATTCTGTCAAATGTCAAAGCTGTTGCCTTTGAAATGTGGGGTGCTGGACATAGATGGACTTTTTTCTCTTAAGCTCTAAAATTCATGTATATGGTGATGGAAAAAATATATGTTATAGAACGTTATTTGTAGTATTTCGTCAATAATAAAAAATGGGAAAGTACGAGCAGGTCTTTGATATAAAATAAATATATCATGCTACAAGTATCCAGATTTCTAGTGTTTAGTGAAGAACCTACTGAACTAAATAGCGAATTCAAAATACAGTAACAACAAACTTTTACAGTAGGCAAGTTCTGATTTAAATATTACAGTGTTTCGACCCACAGTATTGGGTCATCATCAGGTAAAAGTTACATCCAAAAATAGAGTTGAATTTCAAAATTTTGAAATGTATACTCCCATATAGAGATACATATAAAACCGGTTACTCTTGTCTTTTTTATATACAAGTTGCAAAATGTATTTAATTTATTCTAGTGAGTAGTAATAAAAGTAACCTGAGCAAATAGTTTGTTCTGTGAAAAAAAAAAAAAAGATCACGAAATTGTCATTACAGTACATTTTTGCCAGAAAATAGTAAAATGCTAGATAATATAGACACAAAAGTTATTATTAGTAGCTATATTGTGATTTGTGTTTGCGCACATTCAAGTCTGTAAATCTAAGGCTTCATAATTCGCGAACTTCAGCGTTTATATATCAGTTACCATATAGCACCATCAATTAAAGGTTAATGAGGAAAGCTTAGTTTCCTTTTAAGATTTTCCAATTTTTTTTTATACTGAGCTCAAAAGTCTAAGAACATGCTCTCACGTGCGGATGACATCAATGTGTATCTTCAGTGCGCTTATATCTACAGGTGATCCCAGGTAAAGAGGTATACGTAGTTAGAAATTAGACATGAGACTGGTTTATTTTCCGGTTGAATCAAGTCTCGATCTTCAGTAATCTCGTTTGTAGTGGGTGTGGCATGAGAACTTCAATAGTTTTTATTTCTTTTTCTGACACTTCGGTTATCTAAAGCTTGACTGATGAAACCATAACATGCACGATTTTAGTAATGGTTCTCATAACTTCATCAGATTACCGAGACTGCTCGAGAATACGACAGTCACGCTGGTTATGACAAAAACTGGACGCTTTCATATGTGTATTTAGAGCCTGATCTCAGCATCACGATGCGCATTTGAAGCGCGAAATACTGGGAACATCACGCAGAGATGTTATACCATGTGCAGATCCAAGAGCCGTTATTGGCGACCAAGTATCCTACATAACCTGTGTAGTGAAATAATTGGAGACGTTTTACTGTATACATTAAACTTATAAGACGGTTACAATAGGAGGTTGTGAAGAGAAACAAATCATTGAGCTTTACCCTTTTTTTTTCTTTCCTTAGTTGAGTAAGTTATAGTATGTTTAACAAATACGTAGTGTATTACCACAATATTAATGTTAGGGAAGTTTGTTTTTGGAATTTCGCGCAAAGCTACACGAGGGCTATCTGCGCTAGCCGTCCCTAATTTAGCAGTGTAAGACTAGAGGGAAGTCAGCTAGTCATCACCACCCACCGCCAACTCTTGGGCTACTCTTTTACCAACGAATAGTGGGATTGACCGTCACATTATAAAGCCCCCACGGCTGAAAGGGCAAGCATGTTTGGTGGGATGCGGATTCGAACCCGCGACCCTCAGATTGTGAGTCGAGCGCCTTATCCACCTGGCCATGCCGGGCACATGTTAGGGAAGAAGGAAATCTTTTCAGTTCGATTTTCATGTGTAATGAAATATCCAAAAATAATAAAATTTAAAACTAAGACCGCGAAAGATTCAAACTTATTTCAAAGAGGATTGAACCTCAATTCGCCTGAAATTTGATTTCTTCAAAAAGGTATGTCTGACGATAATCAACTAAATTTAACGAGAAACGGTGTCTCCTCTTTAATCTGTATAAAACAGCTTTTTAAGGACATCATCTTTGAAGTTACTTCTTTATGGGATAGATAAGGAAGAGAAAATCACGAAACGCCAAATGTTTCTCAAACGTTTTAAGTTTCGGTATTTATTACCAGGTAGGTGACCGTTAGAGTATTTCACGTTGTGTGACTCAGGCAAGCGTGTTTGTTTTTTAACCAGATTATTACTCTGTAATTGGTAGCTGTATAACACAATGAATGACATAACAAATGGTTACTATTTAATGCTTCACCTAAGTTGTTTTTTTTTACCGAAAAAATTCACTTTTTTCAAACACAACCAGTTTTCGTTGAGAACGTAACAGGTGGTTTGACGAAAAGTAGCTTTGTTGGTTAACAACACCTGAATAGCTCGTTTTGTAAGATCAACGTTATTGTAAAGAAAAAATAACTGAACTTCGATAAGAATCACTAAATTTTGAAGTTAATGTATATTTTCTTTTCATTAGGTTCTTTGGCATTTGGATATATTTCGCCGTAGTTTCCGAGAACTCAGTGGCCATACGTGCATGGCTGAATGTTGTATCTTTTGTGCGCTCAAAGTAAGTTTTATATCTACTTTCACTTGAGACTAACTCAGATGATAGTTCTAATGTTAAATGTATATATAAATGTAGGCGCAAGTCAGGTACAAGTATAAATGATCATCAGAATCGTTATGGATCTATGGCTGAAACGCCGTGAAATAAATTCAGAAAAAAAAGTGTAGACTAAAGTAGTTTATACGCGTTTAATTTCGAACCTAATATGGTATGTTAGTTTCTACTGACATAGGTCGTTATCTGACAGTACAAACTCCATTGATGTTACTTTACCTTATCGTCTACTCTCTAGTAAACTTCATAAACGTTATATATATATATATATATATATTGATTGATTGTTGAATTTATCAGACTGGAGGGCACATTTTGTGCTGTGCGATCATTTATTATCCTAGTTGTGAAGTTTTTTTTTAAAAAAAAATAAGAGTGAAAATAAAAAAAGATATTACAAAAATATTTCAACCAAACTATAATTGTCATATAGATGCAATCATTTTACGTATGGAAGAATTTCTACACTTTGTGTGCTGGAGTTATCAGTCTGGCGAGCATGCTTTATGTTGTGTGATCGTAATTTGTAAATTATGTTTATATATGATAAAAGATATGATATTAAACATATTGTTTTTAATTTATTTTGAGATTTTGTTTTTCATATAACGAAACGCTTTCTTCTTTCGCTCCTAAAAGCATAATTGAAGGTTGAATTTTGAAATTCTTCCGATCAAGTTACATTTCCATGGATCAAACTAACTAGTTGGCAAATTATGATTTATGTTTTCTCAAGAAAATGAACAGTCATGATTATTCCTACTATGAGTTTCTTTAATTTCTCATCAGGAGCTGTTTGCACAACTCCAGTATAGCCAGGAGTCGGCATTACCCCCTGATGCTCTGAGACATGCCTTAGCTGAAACTTTCCATCAGAGACGCTTCCAGCTAGGAGGCATGGACGATGCAGCAGAATGCTTTGTGAGTAGAAATAGTATGTTTACGTTATATATTTTACGTTTATTTTAATAGACTGCAACTGATTGCAGGGTAGTACAACTGGTGGCTCATGTGCCGCGCCCGGCCTGTGTACTCATTATTAATCACAAGTTAAATTCAAAGTTTATGCAATAAAATAATTTAGTTACAAATTAATTTTAAATAAGAAAGGTCCCCCGTTGGGACAATGGTAAGTCTACGGATTTACAACGTTAAAATCGGAAGCTTGATCCCCGCAGTGGACACAATAGATAACCTAATGTGACTTTGCTCTAAAACAAACAAACAATAATAAAAAAGTGCCATCCTAATAAGTCATTTATGTAATAAATTATGACTCTACAATTTTTCCATCCTCTAAAAGCAGTGTGACCATAGCGAAAAGGTTGAACTACCCTGAAATATAGTATCACATCTAAGGACGTAGAGGCTTTTGATCATCGGAAATGTTTAAAACACATATATAAAGTCCAATTCAAATTATCTGGGGGATGTCCTGAAGGTAAGTTACCATGATCAATAAAAACATTTTCTTTCCTAAGAATTAAGATTTGTTGTTTTAACAGAATATGTTGATCATCTTCAAGTTGAATTTCTGTTGCATAAAAATATAACTGAGGTGGTCCATCCAAAAAACAAACAAAAAACGTCATTACCTTATTAATGTATCAAAAAGTTAAGTCTCGATGGTGTTAAGCAAAAACTTTGAACACCAACAGACCTATCTCTTCTAGGCCAGAAATGATGATCATGGTTATGTCCAGAATCTTGGTTTGGTTTGAATTTCGCGCAATGCTACACGAGGGCTATCTGCGCTAGCTGTCCCTAATTTAGCAGTGATACACTAGAGGGAAAGCAGCTAGTAAACACCGCCAACCGCCTACTCTTGGACTACTCTTTTATCTATCAACGAATAGTGGGATTGACCGTCATATTATAACCCTCCTCAACGGCTGGAAGATCGAGCATGTTCGGTATGACGGGAATTTTATCTATTTATTTATTGAATAAACTGTTAAAAAGAGCTTTTATATTTCTTACTATGACAAGAGACTTTTGGAGCACCACGAAAACTCTTACATCTCACTCGTTGAAATTAATTATTAAAATGAACGAGTATTTGTTTGACGTTAATGACATGTTAGTTTTCAACTTTGTTGTTATTATTTTTTCTACAGGAAAACATCTTGAGGCAAATCCATTTCCACATAGCCAATCAGGAGTCAGAAGACATGTGTAATTCTCCTCACTGTATTCCTCACCAGAAGTTTGCCATGACTCTCGTTGAACAGGTTTTTATTGATATTTCTGCTATTTTCTTTATACCAGTATTATTGTTTGTTTTAGATAATTTGGGAAATCAAAATCTCCTTGTGCATGAACACGTCGGAATCTTAAGTCTTTGTTGTCTGTAACGTATGTTTATAGATCTCACGTTAATCAATAAATTTGGTTATAAGCCAATAAAAAAAATCATTTCGATCAATGTAACAGGTTCGCCCCAAATGAAAATACCGATTAGAGGGAAAAAAACTGTAAACAGCATCCGCCACCTCGTATGTTTTGTCCGACTTTCAAACGAAAAATGGAATTGACTTCCATTCTTATAATGCACCCACAGCTGAGAGCTCGGAAGGTGTTTAGCGATATTACGTCGTGTACCTTGAACTTTCCATCCCACATCCCGGCTAATAAACCAGGGACGATAAAGAACAAAGAAATTAAAAGTTGACAAAACACTTTTTATTTACGTATATGAAAATAACTTAGTTAACTGAGTTTCTTACTAAGCAGTTTTTAGTTTTGTGTTTGAGAGTATCTAGAGGTATTGGCATATTGATTTCACTTTATTGTTTTTTTTTTTTACAGGCTATTTGTCATGCATGTGGCGCCACTTCAGAACCGTTGTCGTTCACTCAAATGGTACACTACGTTTCAACATCTGCCCTTTGGTGAGTGTGATTCGCAGAATAATTAATTAATTTGATAAATACAGCTTATCGGGACTTTCATGTGTCGTAGTTAATGTTTTAAGAAAAACGTTTTCTGGTAAAATTTAATCAGCAGCAAAAAGGTAAATTTATCCGAATTTGAAGAAAAGTGATATGCCGTTAATATTACTTCAATTGAGAGATAATGTATTTTTCATTTCTTTTATTAAAATAAAAATTAACATTTTAGATACGTGGATACTGAACCAACCTGATTGAATGAGATAAAAAAAGATAAAAACAAAATATTTAATTTGATTTATAAAAATAATAATAAAGCTCTAAATTTAACCATATTATTCTGTAAGTATTTATTTTGTGAACAAGAGGGCTGAAAAATCGAATATTATAGTATTGTATAGAATCATGTCGGAAAAAACCCTATTTTTTGTTAATATTTTCATAAATTTTCGAAAAAGATTAAAACTTTTTTTAAACAGTTCTCGCAAGAAAAAACAACAAAAAATTCTATTCAAATTGGAAAAATTTCGGAAGACAATGTATGAGAAAGATTATGTCTAAATTTTTAAATTTTGAATATTTTTTTACTCTTTCAGTTAGTATTGATCAGTTTGAAAAATGTATTCAATTGCGATACGCTAGAGTAAAAGATAGTTTTTTGTCATACAAAGTGATAATTAAAAGCAAAGTAAGTGTTTGTGTTTTGTCACATTTTTTCGCTATAAAAAGAGTTGTGTAAAACAGCTTCACCAATTATAAAGTATTGAATTAATGAAGAATGGGTACGTTAGCCATTCTACATAATGAAGAAAGAGTACGTTAGCCATTCTACATAATGAAGAATAAGTACGTTAGCCATTCTACATAATAAAGAAAGAGTACGTTAGCCATTCTACATAATGAAGAATAGGTACGTTAGCCATTCTACATAATGAAGAATGAGTACGTTAACCATTCAACATAATAAAGAATGGGTATGTTAGCCATTCTACTGACTTCAAAAAGAGCAGTCGCTTAAAATGATATTTCATAAGTTGAAAGTCTAAGAGATTTTTCATCTTTATATGCAGATACATTATAAATATCATCAAATGTACTTGTTATATTGTTAAATGAACAAAGAAGTGTGAATAAATTCAATGTTTATCTCTGTAGCTCACAAGCAGAATTCGTGACAAACCAGCACAAAGATCCCGCTGATAGCTTTGGGCACATACTGAGAAAAGCTGGAGGAATGGGGGACACAAGAGATTGTCCAGTGAGTAATTAAATTTCACAAAACCTCTTGCAATAAGACAAATATTTTAATAACACTGTAGGTAGTGAACATACTTCGGAAACTAACTTAAACCTATACCACAATGTGCTTGAGAAGTTAATTGTTTTGTTATCAAGCACAAAGCTATACAAAGGGCTGCCACTGGGGGATGAGAAGTTAATAGTTGTAAGGAATGTTTTATATTTTTTATTTTGAGACATTTAAACGATTGTTTTTGAATTAATTTCCAAATTTTTATGAAGCGTACGAACTTATGGTCTGACTTATATAACCATAAGAATGATGAAATAATTTAAAACATTTGTGAAATACATATACCTGTCATTCATACTTGTAACAAAGGAAGTTAAAGCTTACATTAGCTTCATCTTATAAGCATCTAAGATCTCATATTGATGCAAATATGAATGATGCAACTTACTTTTATTGAGATTTGGGTTAAATTTACGCACTTGCTTGATAAGTTTCTCATGAAATTACCTTTAATTTTAAGTTTTTTTTTGTTTTGTTTTGTTTTGTTGTAGAGTGCCTGCGGAGCTAAAATACAGATCTGTCGAATCCTCATGAACCATCCCGAAATCTGTGAGTCCTTTTAAGAATAGCAAGTTTAGGAATCTTACTTAACAATGAAGTATTTGGATGAAATTAAATAATGCGGATTCTTCGAGGCTTTCTCTAGATTAGAAGGGTTTTTAATAATAATTGTTGTAAAATGTCTTAAATTATTAATTTATATCATTCTAATAGAACACTGGAATACTTTCAACAGAAGCAGATTAATATTTATAACTTGAAACTATCATTTTATTTTTGGATAAGAATGTTCTAAAGAAGATATTGTTTGTGTTGGATAAAAGGTTTGTGCATTGTTTTTGACTTTATTAAAGGAAAAAATAAAAACAGTTTTATAATATTTAATGAAAATGAAGTTTGCCGTATGATCAAATTCAGTAGTTTTTATCAGTACTAATAACTGCTTTTAACATATATTTAAACAATATATATTTTGCTTATTCGTCAAAATTAAGTAAGGTATCGTAATTTTTATAATAAGAACAAAGCTATTTTATTATTTCAGTGAGCGTTGGACTCGTATGGGACTCTGAAAGGCCCTCAATACAACATATACTTGAGGTTTTTAAGTCTATTGGCATGGTCCTCAAAATACAAGAGGTAAGTTTTAGCCATTTCTGGGCATTTGGACAGTATTGAAATCGATGAAGAAGGAAACCTTCTCAATTCAAAATAGTGTGCTTATGCTATTAAGCTTAGTATTATAGCAGGCCAACTAGCTTTTATGTTTGGAAATAATAACATTTTGCTTATCTTAAATTAAGTTAAAGAAGGTAGACTAATATCGGAACACTTCTGAACAAGTAACGTTACTGGACACTTATGCTTGAGACCCACAATGTAGTTTTAATAAAACATTTGTGAATTCACACAAGTGTTTCACCTATTCTAAGACATAACGTTTAGGGCGTGAAGATCGTTTTAAGATCTACTTTTATCTTATTTAAAAGATTAATTCCAGTTTTGATGACAGTTCTTATTCACACTAAAATAGTATTATGCCTGTAAATTGTAATGGTAACACATCTTGGTGTGGATAATAAAGGTAATAGATTGTTTAGACTAAGAGATTATAAAAATAACTAGCGTTATTTACAGTTAACAGTATCTTTGTTGTGATATTTTACTTTATTTTTTTTGTTTAGTATTTCTTTATTAATTATTCATCATTTCAACGATGCAAAATGTTTAATAATAATTAATATAGATTATGGTTTAAACAATTATTAATACAGCTTTTTGTTCTTGTGGCTTGTCTCAAGTGAATAACTAAAACACTCAGAAACAAGAATAATAAGGTAAAAGAAGTTTTGAATTTTTGTGAAAAAGGGAAAATTAATTTAGATAAGACAAATTGAAACCCACGACTACTATGCTTTAGCAGAGTAAGCTACTGTATTTCAAATGCTACAGATCTCTGTTTCATTTCATTGGTTATTAAGGATGAAATTTGGCAGGACACTTATTCCTTAAAATTTCCACCTTTAATATGTATGAAGTAAACATTGAACTTTGAAAAAATGCAAGACATTGTAGCTTATTAGGCTGAAGTACTTGCCTGGTTAGTAGAGTCACAGTTTAAATCTTGCTAAGTCTTAACTTCACAATACAATGTACCATCCTTAAAATTTTCACAGCTTCTATTAAAGCATAATAAATTCCTTAAAATCAGTAAAAGGCCATTGTCCAGTTGTTAGCTAGACAGAAGACTGGCTCCAGGCTTTGAAATCTTGATGAAACAGTTTATTATTAAAGATCCTTAAATTCTGTATTTTACGAATATTCACTTTTATATGTTTATTCAAGTTTATCATGACACAACCATTATTTAAGTTTGACACATTTTAAAACTTAGTTCTGGGTATTTCATTATCTAAACAAATTGTAACATTATTGATTGGAAATAATCTATATATATATATATGTTTCTATTTTTTCAGATGTTTCACTCTGTCGTTGATAACCAGTGGGCTAGAAATACCACTCACCATCTTGTTGGCATTGTTACTTATTATGGAAAACACTATTCAACCTTCTTTTTTCACACAAAACTTGGAATTTGGATCTACTTTGATGATGCCACAGTTCATGAGGTTTGTCAGTGAAATGAAATCTATTCAATTTAAAAATGTCTACTGATGACTGGTGTCTCTCAGTTGTTCAGAAGTATTATAACTTTTGAAAATTAGTTTCAGGATATACATTCAGAAGTGACCCTTCTTTGTTTATTTTAAACTAAAACCTTAAGTTATTTTAAATTTGTGTACATATTAAACTGCTGGGAAAAGCCTTACTGTAATATCCATTCTAAGTTTTTTACACAACTTATCTTACAGATTGGGCCCAAGTGGGAACAAGTGATTGAAAAGTGTAGACGAGGGCATTTTCAGCCACTTTTACTGTTGTATGCTAATAAAAATGGATCTCCTGTTTCTGGTTCTACAGCTCCAAAGTCCATTACCATGGTTGCCAAAAATCAGAAGTCTTTGAAAGGTAATGACAATATTCAATATTGTACAATGCCAAAGTATCCTAAAGCTAGAGTAGTTATAATAGAAATAAGATGTTTTGAAGGTAAGAACAATACTACATAGCTAAAACATGTACTATCATTGCTAAAAACCATAAGTGTTCAGAAGGTAAGGCCAATATTATAAAGTTATAAAAGTTGGTAAAATCAGGAGGTCTAGAAGTTTAGTATCACATTCAAACTGAGAACCTATAATATATCCGAGTTAAAAGATATGTAGACATACTTCATTAACAACATATTTTCAACAATTAGTTAGTATTTTGAAATATCGTATTTGTATGTCATGCTCTTTTTTATTAACCTCTATTACTGTAATTTTTTCTTGACTTTTCGTATATGTGCTGATTGTTATATAAAATATACAAATAACATGGTCATGAGGACAACTGATAACAAATAAAAATCCTGTTTTGAATTTATTAAAGTTTATTTTAAGCTATTGCAACTATAGAACTGAAAAAGAAAAATAATAAATTATTTTTGATTTGATTTCTTTATAGGGTCTGATCAATTCCATACTGGTGGAATAGTCTCAGAGGCTGGAACATCTATATGCAACACTGTGAGTGACAATTACCAAAGAAAAATGCTAATACTGTGTCAGGAATATCCTTATGAAAACAGTGGCAGTATTCAAACAAAGAGGTCACATAAATCCAATGAAAGTAATTTCAAATCAAACCCAATTAATCCTACATTACTACATTCCAATCAGTGTACCATGTATCCATCTCAGAATCTGATAATGTCTGGTTATTGTTCCAATGAATCTGGACAGCAGCACTTACATCAGAATTTTTTATCTCCTCTAAAATGTGAGTCTGGTGTATCATATTGCTTTTCTCCTGAGAACGCTACAGGCCAACAAGATTTTAGTCAGTGGACTAGTAATCATTCTTCTTCGCACACCAGTTGTGTTGCAGACTCTCAAAGTTCTGTTCCCTCTAGCCACTATGTGAATAACACAAGTAATCAGTTGACTTCAGACAGTTTCACCAGTGAACCCAAATTAAATGATAACATCAATAAGTCCAACTGTTGGATACAATCCTGCGGCTTCCAACCTCATTACCATCCGACTGCTGATGAGTCTCCTAATGTATCAAATTTCAGAGATTTCTCACCGAACAAAGAAACCACCAGCCAACAAGCATGTGGTTTGGGGAGTGCTGGTGAGAATACAATAGACTGCAAGACCTACATCAACCGAAAAGCAGTGGAAAGTGTGCTAAATGCTCAAAAACTAAAGAGACAAAGATCATTAAATGAAAACTATAATTCTGCTACTGGAAACCGACACAGCGCCAGTAGCTTGGAATCATTTGATAATAATATACAGACCAGAAATGCCTTAAACAAAATGCCTAACCTGAAAGGGGAACTCAGTGGTACAGCTAATGTTCTATGGCGACGAGACTCTGGAAATTGGAGTGGTGATTGTAATAGCGGAAGTTCGTCCAGTGGTACCTCTTTTGATACTCTGTATATTTATGGTATTGGAAGTAAAAAGTGAGTATATTATAAAAAATATGATGGGAAAGTTTAAAGTTCTAATAGGCTTAACTTTAATAGTCGTAGAGTGTATAAAATAATATGCTGAGCATTTTACCATAATGTAGTTAATTATACCTAATAATGCTCTTCTGGGGATTTTTTACAAAAACAACTACTTGTTGAAGGTTAAGATTATTAAAAACTCACAAGAAATATGCTATTTTTACTTAGCTTCAAGTTCTTGTCAGTTTTACCTTAGAACAATAAAATTTTTTTTAAAAAAAGAATAGTTTGTTTTTGGTATGTAGTTTCAAGCATGGCCCAGTGGTTAATATGTCAAGCTGAGAACCAGAAGGTCAAATTTTCAAACCTGCAATATGCCACTGAATGCCCTCCACACTTTAGATGTGGGCATGCTATAAATGTGACAGTTAATCTTGCTGTTCCTTTAGAGTACACCTACACCTTAGTTTCTTTGATCTAATCATTCAACCCATGTATTCTATAAATTACTGTTGAAGTTAAAACTCTAAAAGAAATTGTGTGTATTTTTATGTTTTGTCTTTCAAAAATAGTTAAAAGTGGGACTAACACCTCTAAAATCTAAATGGTGTATTTAAGTGTTTTACACTCACAAAAAAAACCTATCATTCTATAGGTATTTGAAGAATGTGTAGCCCACAGACACACACCCCAATGAAAGAATAGTCCATTCTGAGCTTTTACTTGTTAAACAAATGTTTAAACAACTCTGTTCAACCTTTAAAATCTGTTTTCAAGCGTTTGTAAGCATAAATGCACTTAAAGCACAAAAGAGAAGGCATTAAATCTTATATAATAAAGAGAGCTCATACGTGTTACGCTAGTCACTATACTCAGATCAGACACATGATGATCAATTACATTATTTAACAAGAAAGATAAAATGCCAAACTAACTTGTATGTTTTCAACAGGTTGACAACCAATAAAGCTATTGGTCATCAGAATGCTCCAGACAATACCAGAAGTTGTCAGCATAATTACATAAATGTTGGAATTTTGCCTGACCAAGGTTATGACTCTTTTTCATTGTCCAGCACTGACAGCTATCCCTCTGTTCCTGGTTCACCTGCTTCATCAGATCTTCGCTTGACCCAGATACCCGAAGACTTACAAACAAAGTTTCAAGTTACTAGAAGCTTGAAGTCTGCTGATTCTGAATCTCAGCATCTTAGTGGACTTAAATCGAAGATGAAAGGTAAAAATGCTCATTTCTTTTGAGTAAGCTTCTCAAAGTAGAAAATATTTGTTTTATTTTATGGGGCTCTATTAATGAACAAGGAAGCATTTCTACACAGTAAAGGTTATCTTCTAATAATGATACTTTCTTTTTATGATTTCAAACAATAATATATTGATATTGTACTGTTACCATATTTGATACTTTTGGGTTTTAAAGGATTTTCTTTTGCTTAATATTGGATAATTCTACTCATCTAAAGGAAACCACCAGCAGGAGAGGAATTTCAAACCAACAAAATCTTATTTGTTTTTATCTAAGCACAATGCTACAGAATTGGCTATGTGAACTGTGCTCATCATGAGTAACGACCTCTATTTTTAACTTTATGGCATTCAGAAGAAATAAAATTTTTTCAGAAAGACAAAAAATACCCTAATAAGTAGTTTGACATTAGTAAATATTGACAAAGAGATGTGTGTTCATTATCAAAAAATACATTAAAAGATGTCATTAACACATTGTCTGAAATTTTATATGAAAAAAGGTGAAAGTATAATAATAATAATTGAATAAATCTTGTTTTTTTATTGAATGTGTTAAAAGTTTTCTGTGTATGGAGTTTCTATATAGAAATTTAGGAATTGACTGATGATAAATAAGTAATATTTACTTTTAATTGTATCATTAGTAGGTAAAAACTTGCCATTTTTTGTTTCTAGAAATTTCCATATTATTTTGTTGGCTTATAGAAAGATGCTAAAAAACTTCATAGTTCATAGTGAAATTCAAAACACTGTTTTTATTTTAGCCTCAAGAGAAGACTGTGATAAATTATGTGCTGAAGCTGATCTTCTATTGAAGAAGTCCCACGAGAAAGAGAAAGAGGGTGATCTAGTAATGGCTGCCATGCTGAGTGATTCAGCAGCAGGTAGAAAAATTTTCACTATTTTTTATGTCTTATTTAATTTGTAACATCTAAATGAGAGTATATATATTTGTTGCCATATAGAATAAGGTATATCTTCTGAGCTTTCGATGACCCATATAGAATTGATAAAATTTACATTTCACCACCAACATAAAAAATTGCATACAACTTGATAACATAAGTAGCATTTTTCCAACTTCTGTGTCTGTTGTTCCCAGCTGGCCTTATGAGCCCTTTTATTGGGCAAAAAGCCTCATCAGCACTGGATATAGCAGATGTGGTGTGGTTTACATATTTTGATACATTATTCTGTACTTTCACTCATAGCTTCTTAGATTTACAAAGTTTGGCATTTTTATAGTCACATAACGTTTGCCATATTCAGTGCTGAATGTATGAATTCATCTACAATCTTATCTATTAGTATTTAAAACTGCTGGCTACTACATTTGCATAGAAAACATTGATTTGTTTAGTTATTAACCCTTTAAATGATGATTGGTAAATATTGATATATCTAACCAATAATGTTTTTTATTAATATTTAATAAATTTTATCACAGCTAAAGCAAGAGCTGCTATGGATGCTCCATACAACAACATACAATCTTTCATCTCTGCAAAGATGAAACATAGCTTCTGTGTGATGAGATCATCCAGTCTTCATAAGCGTTTGAATGAACCAGAAATGGAGGAGAGGAAGAAACAAAAAGATGTATCCATTTTGGAAGGCCATCACAGCCGACAGTCCAATCGAGGTAGTCGACAGAGAAGTAAAGATGATTGGCATAGTCAACAAGGAAGCAAACACAGCTCAAGTATAAATAAGAATATGGATGCATTTGACCTAAACGCTGAGAGAACAATTGAAATATATGCTACACTTCCTAAGAGAGGTAGTAAGCATAAACATTCCCCTAAAAGCAAAGATGAAAAGCAAGTACATAGAGATTTTGCCGAGAAGCAGAAGCAAACACTTAAAGCTGAAGTTATTAATCAAGTAACAGATCAGATGACAGTAATCAGTCAGATAAATAATAGAGAATCTCTTTCAAAAGATCTGTAAAAAACAGAAAGTCCCTCTACTTAAAATATCACCCGAAGATAAAACATGTAAAAAACAAGAAATTTCAGACTATAGTGTTGTTTCGAGAGAACCAAATGTTCATGACTGCTCTAATAAAAATAGGGAGTATGACAAGAAAACCTCTCCAGATAAGACTTGGTCAGGGCAATTGTTCCCAAAAGCAGATTCTCCGAAACAACTTGAAGACATTTTTATGCAGACAAGTGAACAGTGTAAGAGAAAACAACATAAAGTTCGAAGAAAGCTTATAGGTGGTTTCATGCGAAAGAAGAATCGTAGCTTACCTGACCTCAGAGAAAGTCATGGTCAAGGCGAATCTATAACACATTTACTTGATGATTGTGCAGTAGTTCAAATATCTCCTCCAAATTCTCGGGATTGCGATGCTAAAAAGAAACCTGACAACACATTAGACAACCAAGTGCCCCATGTAAGTAGAGGTTTTCATCAACCCCATTGTGCCTTTATAAAGAAGAACAACCATAATCAGCGATCACTTGTGAAAGTAAATCCACCACAAGTGGAAGGAGTGCCTTTTAAACCTTCTTGTGATTCGACCAGTAGCTGTTCTCAAAATAATATTGATTTACCTGTTCCTCCACCAGATCGCATGCTTCTCATCCACTCTGGTGATATATCCCACTTTACACGGAACTGGAAAACCCAAAACATGAAAGTACCACCCACTTTTACATTTAGTTTATCAACAGGAGAAGAGACTTCTAATCTACTACCAAACCAAGAATATTTAACAAATGAATTTCAGCAGCCTACTGTTCAAACGGGATTTGATTTCCCGTTACAAAAGGACAGTACTGCTTCAATAGCGAATGCGTTTCCAGGAGAAATTCAAGCCAGACGTAAGCAAATGCTTCAATCATCAGCACATAAAGAAACAAAACCTGATCAACTACTGGATAAACCAATAAAGAAAGAAGGAATGAAAGAAGTCGGGGATAATTCAACATTAAGTCAAGCTCAGACAGAAAAGGTGTGTTTGAAAGAACTCCAAGACAAGCAATTCCAGATGATGCAAAAAACATATCCTAAAAGAGAACCAACTAAAATGACAGAAAAAATAATCTCTGGTAAGATGAGTTTCTTAAACATTCTTTCACAAAGTGCTTTAATTTTGAATATCTCATGTCAACATACTATTTCTAAGCATTATTAAGTTGATTTTTTCAGTATTGGAGTATTTTTATTGAAACATTTAATAAACAGTCGTCAATTGTTTTACCTATAAATGTATCTATATATATTCTTTTAAAAATTTTCATTCCAATGTTTTGTTACTCTTAGTAAATTATAGCATAATTACATTAAATTTATAGTAATAATAATATAGGCTTAGAATATTAGAACGATCCGTATCAGTAAGTCTCATTGGCGGCGTTTTGTTATCTTTAATAAATAGGAAACACCTGTGCTCTTGCCCGAAGACGAACTCGCATGGACTTTGTTGATATGGAACAGAAGCAGGCAAAAGTACAAATAACCGTTTGTTTCTTATTTCTATCTATAATTGTTTCAAAATATTTTTATTATTCAGAAAAGATGTTTTAGTGATAAAGAAATATACAGGTTTTTTTATTTTAAATGGATTTCAACGGTTTTGTTTTAGATTTATTACTTTACTATATATTTACTTTACCAAAAAAAATAGATATTATTATATTATGTCTTGCATATACGTCTGTTTGACTGGTTGAGAATTACCTGATTGCTTTGCAACCGTTACTGGAAAATTAATTTTTTGTGCTCTAATTTTACAGATAGAATTGGTTTCTGAAGGTTGTCAGTCACGCGTGGAGAAGCTAAATGTTCTGAATATTTCAAACGCAGACACTTCGAATGACAGTCGCAGCGAAGTAGAAGAAATAAAAATGTATTCAGTAAAAGATTTGGCTTCAAAATTTGAGTTTGTTTTGAAGCCGAAACCAGTGAAGGAGAAAAAGAATGTAAAAAACTTTGTTAATACAGCAAGCGATATACCATTTTATGAGCAAAAAGACAATTTTATTGAACAGAATAACTTAAACTCTCCTCCAACTGAACTATATTTACCAGAGAAGACCAGTGTCCAAAGTAATGATGCTGTCCAGGACACAAATAAAGTAACTTATTCCCAAAATGTGCTCACTGATACAGCAAACAAACCTATTCTATCATCATTATCAGAAGAGCAGAATATCCATCTTGTCATAGATGAAGATAAGAAAGAGAAGGATTCTTGTTTCATTAACACTGTTCCATCTGTGGATACTCATAAAGACCTGCAATTTTCAAAAAATATGTCACAGTTTTCTTCAGAGTCGGAACAATCCAAGCACCACCCTGATTATGTAGAAACGCAGTTTTCTTCGAAAGCTAAACGACCACAGCGCCCTCCTGACTATGAAACTGCAATACAGAGAATTGGAAAGTTGAAACATAAACCTCAGATCAAAACTGTTGAAGTGGAAAAGAACGAAACAGCGTCTTTGAGTGACAGTGTTTCGAACACTCCAAGGACTCTTATAGAAACTCTGCAGGATTTTACAACCCTGTCATTCAACCAAACGTGCACTGAAATAGGGACAAAGTCTAACCAAGTGAAACCAAGCTCTATAGGAGGAGAAGTTTGTCTTAAAGTTCCGAAGTCAACTATGACTTTAAAGAAAAGGACGGGTTCAAAAAAGAGTGTGACATTTTCAGAACAAGTTGTTTTAGTGGCATGCGCAGACGACGAGGAGTACGAACATCTTCCAAATCCTCTTTTAGAACGTGTTTACAAACAACATCTGCAAGAAAAATCCACAACGTCATTGGTTGGTCCATTTATTGCCAATTCAATTAAGCATAGCTCTTTAAAAACTGATGCTAATACGAGCGACAGTGATCTTGAACAACGTATCTCAAATGCATTTGATGCGGATTTCTGTAATCTATGTCATCAGAAGACAGTTTCATCACTTGATGTTTATTGTCCTGATTGTTCGTTTTATATGTCGAGATTTAAACCACGTTAGTAGAGGACACTGTCGTGGGTACTCATTAATCGGTATATAAATACGTGCGTGTGTTTAAGCTCTTTTGGTCTCATTTTATGATGTAAATTTACAGAAACGTGTGTTTGATATGTTTATCTTTACATTGTAATCAGTATTTTTTGTCTGATTTTGTAAAATTACCAAGAGGAGTCACTAGAGGACTCTGAGGTCCATACTTAACATTCCACGTCTGTACAAACTGTTCCAATTACGTTTTCATTTTTTTTTCAAATTTAACATTTTTAGTAAAGTGCCAAATTTCATATTGTAAAGTGCCTTTTTCATTTTTGTTTGTTCTTTTATTTTTTTCTTTGTTTAATACAAGTGTTTTTTTTTTTGAAGCGACAAAAGCCTAATCTTTATTCCATCCAAACATTGTACTTAACATATTTCTTTTGTTTTATAAAATGTAAATACTGAAGTAGAATAGGTAGTCACTTTTTAGTTGACCAAAGACTTTTTTCTCATAGCGAAACCTTGCTGCTTGGTTGTTTGTTAATAAACAATTCTAAACTTTCAGTGGTTTGAAATGTTGTATTGTGTGTGTTTTTAACATTAATAATCGCAGATTTAGCAACAGGTCGTCAGCATAACTTCTATATAAAGTATTTAGTTGTCTTAAAATCCATTATTGTTGCTGAATTTGTAGACGCCGAGTGTTCATGTATTACTCAGTATAACTATTCTGAAGTTATTTTCATTCTTTCCCAAATTGATTTTTACCTTTGTAGATAAAGTATTTGAAAAAAGAAAGTAAAATTAAATAAGTGTCCGGCTGATTATTAGTGGACTAATGGTTGATAGCAATGTATTGCATATATAGTATATAAAGCCTACAAAAAAAATCACTTTAATATTAGGTGCACCTAGTTTAAAAAGCACAAAATTTTGCTGGTTTGCTAAAGATTTTATGTTAAAAAACAAAAAATAATAATAATGATGCACCTGTGTTACTGATAATACAGAAACATTTTGTGTAGTTTCTGTAGGTAAGTGACTTTCATTTTGACACGATAAATAGTATAAGAAAGAGTTGTATGAGCATTTGCTAGTCATAAATTTATCATAAAGTTTTTGTTTTTTCATAACCACGTTAATAACAAAAGACTGTGATGTAGCTATTGTACAACAAGCTGGACTGGACTGTAGCAGCCAAAAGCTCATTTTAAATGCTATTTGTATCATTTTGTATGCTCATGGTACTTGCTGTTAGCAGCTATGTAAAATCAAACATACAACGACAAAATTCTTTTTAATGTTTAAAAGTATTCTATATGTTAGCATTTGAAACACAACCAACACATGACAAACGTGTTGGTTTACGTAGTGTTTTATTAACACTTACTCAGATATATTTATTCCGTGTTCTCAGTCAAAAATAAAAGGTCCTCACTTTGGTTCTTGAGATACCGACAAAGCCTGAATGATTCCAACTTGTTTTTGTTGTTATTAAGCACAAAGGGCTATCTGCTCTGCCAACCACGGGTATCGAAACCCAGTTTCAAGCGGTATAAGTCCGCAGATATACCGTTGTGCCACTGGGGAGCGCCAACTTTGTTTAATCGAAGTGCTTGACAGAGATCTATAAAATATCATTCATGAGCATAAATTAATAGGTCGAATTATGGGATTGTTAAAGATAAATTGTTATGAATATCATGTTTTTAAAACATCTTACAAGCAAAGACTATCATAAATACTTCATTCGATAAGAAAGCCATTTTTCTTTTAAAAAAAATATTAGTAGTCTAAGTTTTATAAATTCTCCCAAAGTAGTGAGATTTTTTTTCTAACGTACGACATTCTTCTGAATTGAATGTGGACTATATATATATATATGTATATATATATGTGTGTGTGTGTATTCTTTTTTCGTTTTTTTTACAGTAAAGTACTCAAATAAAAACAAAATCATCGCCCCCCCCCGTGTTTCCCTGGATTGAAGATGCCTCTTCTGAAAGTAATTTGTTTAGAGTACGTAAATAAAAGTACAGCTTGTATAATGAGAATTTATAACATCAATGATATTCCAAGATTTATTTCTACAAAATATTTGTATGTTTTATGAATTAATTTTACCTATATATATATATATAATTTTTATTTAACGTCCAGTCAAGTGGTGAAAATGAAATTTGATGCTGGTAAGGATATACAAGTTAAAACAATTTTTCACTGTTTGTATAATAGGAATTATAAATATGGGATGCGAATGGGTAAATAAAAATACTTTTACGTGTTTTTTAGGAATCCGGAATGTTTCAGTTTTACCTAAAATCTTATGTCTTTACCGTATCGCCTCCCAGAGGCACAGCGGTATCTTTGCGGACTTACAACGCTAGAATCCGGGATTCGATATCCGTGGTGGCCAGAGCACAGATAGCCCATTGTGTAGCTTAACACACACTCATATATATACCGTTATTTGTATTCGAAACATTCATCAATTGTCACCTATATATTATTATTATAGTAAAAGTTGCTATCTTTAAAAGTCCGCGAATAAATCGGCAAACTAAGGTTGTTTTATTTCCTCTTTGACCACGAGAAGCCATCATCCCATTATTAGCAACGAGGAAATATTGAAATCCATTGAGCTTGGTTTATAACATTTAAATATAGTGCTATTACTTTAATCAATTGAAATTCTAGAAAGCTGTGCATGGATTTCTTCCTTCACTTTTGGTAACAAATAAATCATAACCCATAGAATTTTCACACCCAGTAGCTCAAGGCGCTTAGCTTTGTTTACGCGAACACACAAAGCTTATATAATTGATACTTGAAACCATAGGTACTTGGTAAAACTCTATAATTACAGAATGAGAAATATAAGATAATTGTACGTTTCACAAATACATCATTTATTCATGACCATGGTTTCGCCTGATGATGCATTTATTGACAAAACCATGGTCATGAATAAATGATATATTTGTGAAACGTACAATTGTCTTGTTTTTCCTCAATATAAAGGTTAATTTGAAGCTTGGCATAATGTCTGAAACATTTTGGCGACTTTTACATAAATAAATAATTTCTCATGTGTTTCAAAATGCAAAGGTTTTGTTTGTTTTGAATTTCGCGCAAAGCTACACGAGGGCTATCTGCGCTAGCCGTCCCTAATTTAGCAGTGTAAGACTAGAGGGAAGGCAGCTAGTCATCACCACCCCAACTCTTGGGCTACTCTTTTACCAACGAATAGTGGGGTTGACCTTCACATTATAACGCCCCCGCGGCTAAAAAGGCGAGCATGTTTGGTGTGACGGGGATTCAAACCCGCGACCTACAGATTGCAAGACGAGCGCCCTAACCACCTGGCCATGCCGGGCCTAAATGCAAAGGTAAACGTATGAACTCATATCTAATAAGTTTGGTTTTGTTAAGCCAAAAGCTACAATGGACTATCTGAGCTCTGCCAAACCCAGGTATCGAAACCCTAAGATAATGATGACATCGAAACTTTTTTTTATCGTCTACGGTGTCAAATGAGAACTAAAAACGGGGCTTACAAATTGTTTTGAAAGCAAGACACACCATTTGAGCTACTTGGGGGCAATGAGATGTCGAATGTTAATGTTATTAGTTTCAAGATCGAAGTTTAAGGTGGAAATTCGAATATTTTTAGAAAGGCTTTTTTTATTTGTCTTTAAATACATACAAGAAACCATTGTTAACCACATTTAATAAATATAAGTTATACTCTTCCATTTACCAGAAAAAAACCGCCCTTATCTTTAGAGTTACATATTTTCCACATCACTACTAGTTTCTTATAAAATACGACTTCCCTTACACCTACGATAATAAAAATATCGAAAACTTGAACACTAATAAAATGAGCATAAAAGTGTTTTAGATTCCAATTATATTATTTACATTTGTTTGTATAGTCTTTGAAAGAAAACTAGATTTAGTTTTCCTATATTTACATAACTTATTTTGGTTTGTTACTGCATTTCGAAAAATAATGTCTAAAACTATTTATTCTTGTTAAGAACTAGAACTGTTAAGAGAAAATCAAATTATAAAACGACATTAATTAAGTTACAGCTGGTGGACACTGTTGTACAATTTGATTTATATTTATAACGATTTCCACTTTGCAATCGAAATTAAGGCTTTAATTTGGAGCAACTCGTCTCGACAATTTTATAACATGTTACGTTAAAATCATAAATAATATTCGACGTTAAACTGGTACACAATTAAAAACATTTTATTCAGGCCTATCTACGGCCTTCAAAAAGTTGACGACTCTACATGTTTCGACGTTACAACGTTATCCTCAGGAGTCGAAACATGTAGAGTCGTCAACTTTTTGAAGGCCATAGATAGGCCTAAATAAGATGTTTTTAATTGTGTACCAGTTTAACGTTGAATATTATTTATGATTTTAACTTTATACACAAGTGCCAAAATACTATAATTAACGTGTTACGTTATTGCTTAATTCCAACAGTTAGTTTTAAAGCGTGATGTTGAAACAGTTTTAATGGATAATATTAACAAAATTACAGCTAAACATGATTTTAACTTTATACACAAGTGCCAAAATACTATAATTAACATGTTACGTTATTGCTTAATTCCAACAGTTAGTTTTAAAGCGTGATGTTGAAACAGTTTTAATGATAATATTAACAAAATTACAGCTAAACATAAAATTAAAAAGTCAAAATTACTTAACTGTTATAAAATACTCTACATTTAAAAAGATATATTGCATTATTGCTTGTTTCCAACAACCATAGATTAATTAAGTTTTTTATCAAACTATTATTGAGAAAGTAATAATCTCCTTCATATATTTCTTAGAGGGAAGATGTTGCAAGAAATAGTTTGGAAACATTTGTTTTATAGTACGATAATGATTGATTTTAAATGATGAATTGAAACTGTTTTATCAATTGATAGGGTGATGAAATTAGTAACAGATAAATGCTTCCAAAACACTGTCTAAGCTTTCAACTGGGAACTAAAAACGGGACATACAACTTATTTATTTTAAAAGCAATTTAAAGAATTGTATATTTAATTCAGCGAGATGCCAACTTTTCTAACGCTAAATTCATAATTTTCGACAAATGTGTTAATAGTCAGGAAAAAAAAAACGGTTCGATATTAGCAACACTTTTTCTTCTTTGCATCTTCTTGAAGCCGCAAGACGCGTTCTAGCTCTTCATCTTCTCGTGCCCGTAGAAGACTATGAAAAAAAAAGATGGAAATTCCCAGCTTTAATGCCTATACTGTACTGATGTTCTTATTCAACATAATTGGCTTTTTCTGAAGTTGCAACATTATTGAAAAATACGTGATATATTTCATTTAATGTTATGATAATTTTAATTCTAATCTTACCAGATTTTAACTTATATTCACTTGAGCTGTTAAATCGAGGACAGAAATGTACTAAAATAAGGAAACAACCTATGTCTGTGTAATGATTTTATAACTTAAATTAAGTATATTATTATGCGTAGAATGGGATATTAAGCTAACAATCTCAAGAGGGGTTAGTTTTTTAGCAAAATTGAATAGAAGTAATAGATTTTGAATATATTTTAAAGAGCCAAACGAGTAATGGTTTTCAACCAATTTATCAAAATTTCGTATGAAAGAAAAATAAATAATTTGTAGTATTGTTACTTCAGCCATATCATAACTGTAAAATATTAAAACATACATATATATTCAACTATAACATTACAACATATTTAAGGAATTTATGTGAAATACCTGCTCATTCCTCGAATTGCATTTTCCACTCCTATTCCAGATTTGGCACTTGTTTCGTAAAATAAGGCATCGAATTCCTGAAACAAAATGCAGATTCATATTCCATGAAACAAGTTGACATAATCAAAACATAGAAGTACTATCAAAGTTACTTTTATTTAGATAACAATTATTGTAATTAAATGTTTAAATATTCCTTTAGTTCTTCGTAAACGAAGTATCTTATAGTGTTAGTTATGAAAACGAGACATTACAAATTGTGAATTAATAGCATTATACGTCCAGACTAACGCAAGCTTTCAAAGATATTTCTAATGTGGATTTAGCCTGGAAGTATATATATATTGATGAATTATTGTCACAGTTGGCATGGCAGTTGTTAATGTTAATGATAAAGTTGTTAATGATTAAGTTGAGTTACTAGATAAATATACTCGTTTATGAAACATTTCATTCCCTTCAATAATAACAGGTTATGCAAATTATTATCTTATCACAGACTACCTTTTTTGTTTAATGTGCTTCTTTAATTTCCCAATGGAATTACCAATGATAATGAATGGATTTAATACCAGTTCTTTCTTTGATAATATTACAGTGTTTCTTTCAAGGACCCTTACGTGCAATGCCTTACAGTTTACCTGTTTCTTTTCTTTTGCTCTTTAGGGTTTTTGTATTGATTAGTGTTTTAAACCTAGCACTTCTTGAATTAATGTTACTTCTTTTTTAACCCATTTGTTCAGATAATTTCGATAAAACAGTTCTAAGATCTGATATTGTTTGACAAATTGTCACTAACATCTGACGAAAGAAAGTTACCTAGATAGGTCAGAACTGAAAATCAGTATAGATAATTTAACACGATGTTCTAATTAGATGCAAGCAAAGTCACAAAACAAAAATGTAATGATTAGCTTCGTTGATTAATCAGATTAGTTGGGTACCCATTTAACAGCATTTGTGGTTGCAATCTCACGAAGTTCGACCAACTTAGGAGGTTAATAATGTAAAATAATCATAGTATTAAATAACCCATAATAAAAAATATTAGTATATTATACGTACTACACGTTCTAATCAATGTTGTTAATGAAATTACCATTAAAAGAATAGAACTGAACTTACAAAACATAAAAATTGGCTTTTGCTTCATGCACTAAAATCATGATAACAGTAAAACACAAGGATACACTTAAACGTCATCTAACGAGATTTTTATTAACCTAGATCTAAGCGCACCAAAATTGGGGTTACTACATTCAGATACACGCATATCTAGTACACCAGTTACTTTAGAACTACTCAACAATATTAACTTTTTTGAGACATGCAGATAGTACATATCGATATAAATTGCGAATCTGACTTTTAACATAATTTTCTGACTTAGAAAAAAAAAGGGACGTATTTGATTAAGCGTATGAGCTGACTATTATAATAACCAATTAGCTTGGATTTTCAATAAGTCTGTATTATCAATTGAAACTATTTTTCCGTGCGTCACCAATGTAGATTTCTGAATGTACTCCAACCTAGTTCAGAAGACGCGTCTTGTCCTAATATCTTTTAAGTTAACAGGAAATGAAAACAGATACGTTGTTAAACTTTCTGCTATCATGAAGAGTTAAGATTTGTTACTACTTGCAAATCTGTCCAATCGTCGTCCTATCTGTACAGATAACATCACAGGCTACAGAATAAAGATGTATTACCTCAGCTAGCCGACTTCCATCTTTTATTTGAATTACCCGATCATCCTCCTTTTCGCATAAATCCGTTTTGTTTCCTATAAGCACTAGAACGATTTTGTCGTCAGCACCTTCCTGAAAATGATCGCTACTCTTTACTTTCTAAGAATCATTGTTCTCAATACCAAGTTAATGATGAAAAGTATACTTTTTATACTTAAAACAAGTAAGTAACGAGAGAAAGATTTATAGAGGTATCTCATTTAGTGGTCATGTACACTTTCAATAACTTGTAGAAGTTAACAGGATACACAATCTTCAAAGGATTCGTTGCATCGTCTGCTGTATTTAGAAAGAAAATTTACAGAACATAAAATCGACGGGGTCCAAATCCATTGGCTTTCTAAACACATTTTCTTAACTATTTAAACACGAAATTGTTCGTGGGTTTATAACTATTAGTTACAGGACCTCTCAAAAGTATGAATCACAAAACAAGTAAACCAAAATACCGTTAATGTCACAGGTAGTCATATTAATCACTGCTGGTGTTTACTATGTAGCTTAAATATCAAATAAGTGATTTTACCCACTTTTCGGGGGCCAGTTCTTCAGAATGAGTGGTGTGACAGACAAAATACAAAATTACTCAATGTGATACGATATGTGGTAGTGAAGTGAAAGGTATGTAAACAACTCGGTAATTTGAGGATTATTCGAATATCTTTTCCAGAATTAAAGAAAGCTTACTCATTCAAAAACTGAATCCTGAACTGAATTAACCTACTAGGTGGGCCAAAAATTTCACAGAAATTTATAAAATTGTGATGTTGATTCTTTTTATTTACATTTGAGTTGTATGTGAATATTTCGAAAGCTAATGTAGTTTTTTTTTCAAAACTATCACAAGTTTTGATTAAAAGATCAATAGGAATATTTTCGCTGAAAAGTTACCATTTAGGTTGTGGTAACTATCATTCTGAAAATTTAAGGATTTTTGGAAAGATTAAATTTCGATAAAAAGTAATTATATTATTTAAGATCCCGGTCAGTCAGAAACCACCAAAAATTACAGTTTTTTTCGCAGGATAAAAATTAAAATTGCAGAATTATTTTTTGCGCGGAAATATACCATAAAAATCGGATAACACTGCCATATGTAAAATATTCAACTGTTTCGAAATCAGTTTTCCATTTTTGCGCGGAGCAAGTATGACCAAAGTTACGAGAGGGCCAAGATGACGTGAAGAACATAAATACAATAATAAAGGAAGCTGCAAAAGCTGTGAAATGTGTTTACATTGTGATATCCATGTGTTTACCATGTTATCCCCCAAAGTAGACGTGGAGTAGTGCAAAAGATGCAAAAGCTAGTAAAAAAAAAGAAGGAAGAGACAGAGCAAGATGTTCTTATGGAAATATGTGCCGAAGAGAGTGTTTCGTTATAAGATTTGGATATTGAGATTGAAGACGTACTAGAAGAAAACTAGAAACATGTTTATTCTCACTAATTATGCATTGAAGTTGATTACTAACATCATTTTAATTAAAATAACTCTAATATTTGCTAAAAATCAAAGCATTCCGAATCTTTCCTTTGATTTTCTGGGAAGTCGGGAGGCAGAAGATCGTTTTCGCCTATTTCTCCGCGACCAGAAATGATTTCTAAATTCTGAAAGCTGCTATCGCCTTTTTAGACCATTCCACACCTTTTTAAAGAAGTGCTCACGGCAGCCCCAAAGGTGGGTTTCTCGCTGACTGGGATACTAAATATCAGAACTTACTATATCTTTTTTTTTCTTGAAATAATGTGTAATGATTCTAACTACTATAACTAAGACATTTATCAGCATAAACTTTTAATTTACCTGAACGCTAGAT